CCTCAGTCTCTTTTACTCTTTACGAAGAAGAATGCTGGGTCGACGATCAGTACGTGGAGACTGAGGGAATTTCTGCCGTTTGAGTAGTCTCGCTCCCGACTCTCTTTTGGGCTCTCCGTGGTGGGGCCTGTGTCCAAAATAAAACCCCATGAAGAGTGACAAAATCGCACTTTGACTTATTCATGCTTAAATTATTGTATCAAGCGTTCAATGCCCGTGATTTTAACGGTAGTTAAGTTAGGAACACGCTCAGGTACCATGCTGTGTTCCTCCACCCGAATTGTTTATTCGACTCTCTTACCTATCCTGTTTATGCGTACTTGTAGACATTTACCAGTCTCCGACAGGGTCTGCATTCCAGGAACCACGTAGAGTCCGACAAACTTTTTGCTTCTCGATAAGAGGCATTCGATTTTCGTAGTTTGTCGCACGTTGGTGAGGCTGATCTATACTAGAAACTGCGGCTCCACAAGTTACAGTTGGTAAAACTGAAAGGAGTAGAATTTCCCCATTGCTCTTACCTTAATGGAGTTCCTTATCTAAGCGGTACTTCAAATTAGATGGCATTTTTGGCTCTTCATGCTTTTCGTACATTCATCATCTACTAGACAGGCTCGGAGATGGCGCTGCCGAAACTGATGTTTACCATGCCCTTTCGAAACTCGGGTTTGCACTTTAGTGAGCCTTTATGACGTACTATCTTTTTCATTTGTCTGAACCAATGGAGAAAACTTCGGCGGCATCGGTGAAATTCGAACCTGCGACAGGAAGAGAAAGGTTTCAATACACCCAGCCTTCTAGCCAACTGACCCACGAGCCTCCACCAGAAGCCGTGACTTCAGTCACATTTGGGTCAAGTTATCTGCCCAGCCTAATGTAACGTATGGAAAACACCAATGTTAAGCGGGATTTTCTAGGCAGTTAATTTATAATCCATCAGATGGCTAGCAGACGCACATAAAGCACAATAGGGCTGACCACTGTCTTATCGACCCTCGTCGCTTACCAACTCTCTTGATGAAAATTCAACCTACTTCACGCTTTTTTGTAGTGTGAATGGTGATTTTAAAAACAAGCTACTTTGACGGTGCGAATATTCCCTTTGGCCAGTCCTAGACGACACTGCAAAAATCGAGCTATTTCGGCTGGCCAACGACGGTCTCCTGCCTTCGGTGGGTGCTGAACACTGGTGTCGCGGTATCCTACAGAGCATCGGTTTCAAGGAGTTTGAGCTCTACCTTCGCCTACCGCAGGAGGAACGTCATAGCGATGAAGGCAAACGTCTACTCGCCACCGCAATAGAACGCATGCAATTTGCAACTCGGCAGTACGCGCGTCGCCAGGTCAGTTGTCATAAACTCCACCCTATCCATTCGCTCGTTGTTTTCACTCCATCAAGTTTTCCGCGGTTTTCTCTAATGGCGAAAGGATGGGATGAGACAGCTGTCTGATAATCGCATATGCGTTTATTCATTTGAGGTCAGTTTCAGTCTAGTTTCGGTAATGCCACTAAGTAAAGGTATTGTGTTTTCTGCACCGGCAGTTTTCTTGCCAAATCAGAATCTGTGATGACTGCGTCCACTGCGCTGTGCTGCCATCGTTCAAACGGATGTATCCGATAGGCACATGGTATATTAATAGTTTTCCAGAGAAAACGGTTGGTTTAGTCGACAACGGATTCGCAAGATGCCGCGGTTTAGAAGGACTATGTCGGATCGGGCTTCATTTGAA